TGTGTGTGTGTGTGTGTGTGTGTGTGTGTGTGTGTGTGTGTGTGTGTATTTGCTTTTGGCAAATCCTTTCATGCTCTCATCCTGTACCACAGGGAACAAAAACCAGCAAAGACACAATGTTCAGAAGTAGGTTGTGGGTCACTGTTATTGAGCATCATGTACTTACATGAATTTATGGTAACCTTTAGGCTGCTAGAGGAAGGTGCTAGTTTTGAGTGCATAGACTGCATCTCTTCTGAGGGGAGGTCTCCCACTTTTATGTGCTGCTGGGACCATTGGACCAGTTAGAACCTAATGCTGAAGAAGTCTGGGTCCAGCTTGCTGAGAAATTAATTAGCCCCATGAACATTATACAGAGGCCATGTTTAACCACATTGGATTAGTGGAACTGTCAAACTTGCTTTGAAATGACAGCTGTGAGAAACAGCTGTCCAGCCCCAAGCACAAAGAGCTGTGGGGTGGATGCAGCACGATGGCTTTTAGATGGGCACCCTAAGTTGTGCAGGCAGCTCGTGTGCAGGTAACTTCCTCCCGGCATACTTCTGTCTTGTAAGGAGAAAATACTGCCAGCTAATAGAAACTGCACTTGCTAGAGCTGCTGCTGTCCTCTTCCCTGTACTTTAACAGGGAGGAAAAAGCTATGGTGCAGATTTGTTAACTGCTTTTGGTTGATTTTAAATGCATTAATAGGGCTAGCTGCCTTCCTCGTTGCTGAGGTGCTGCTGGTCCCAAGCAGCTGGTGGCCATCTCTTATGAGTTAGTGCCTTGCTTAGCTGCCCTGCTGACTGTCTGCTGACTGAACATAACCTACGTGTCTCCTTTTCAGCTGACAGCTCCGATAATTCCGACTTGGAAGATGACATAATCTTGACTCTGAACGAGTGAGGAGCGAGTGTTAGGTGGGGTGCTGCCAGGAGGAAACACTCCCTTCCCAGCAGAAGACCAGAGACCAAATTGGAAATGGATTTTGAGCACCCCAACCCTTTTCCTCCTGGAAAAACCTGAGGAACTTCAGCTCATCCGCTGTGTTGGTTTGAGTCAGTTTGAGGCTCAGAGCAAAGTCTGAAGCTCTTCAATAAAGAGAACTGGGGTTAGGCCTCTTTTCTCTCTGCCTTTTTTTTTTATTTTTATTTTAGGCTGAGATGACTCTCCTCGTCAAGGAAACTTCTGAAGATATTTCACAGTATATTTTCTTTGTATAAAGTTCTTTCCTAAAGAACAGAAATAGTTTTATATATATATATAAAAAAAAAAAAAAGGCAGGTGTTACAGTGAAGAGGGAATGAACTGATGAACTTTGTATTCCTGTAGTACGTTATTACTGTGGGGTAGGTCTGGGGGAAACAAATTGTTTAAAATTTAAAAAGAGGCATTTTTATGCAACTACTAAATAAGAGGATTGTTGTTTCTAAAGTTGTTGAGGAATGAGAATATTTTTATTTTAAATATGATTTTATTTTTTAAAAACACAAGTGTTACTGCCTGCAAGGTCTCTGTGTTTCAGATGAAGTGGGCCTCCAGAATGTTCTGGGGGTGTTTGGTAACTGGATGAACAGGCTGTATAAAGCAGGGATTCTCGCTGTGATACCAGCTCTCTAGGAGGCTGATGGAAGGCCTAGCTTGCCCTAATTGGAGCCTAGTGTTTCTGAGGATGTGGGAATCTGGGATTAAAGTTTGAGCGCTCTTTTTTTTTTTTTTTTTTTTTTTCCCTCCCCCATTTACCCTTTGTGGTTACAGTTTTTTAATCTTTTTTTTTTCTTCCCTTTTTGCCCTCTGTGTGGAAACTACAAATTGAAGGCCTTTTTTCTTTAATGTAAAGTGTATTTATTAAAAAAACAAATACAAGTCCTGTCTACGTCTATGGCCGTGAGATGTTGCCATGCAATCCTCTGCCACCCATACAGAAGCAGTGCTCTGCCTAGCAGCAGAATGTGCAGGAGAGCAGCTGCAATAAAGTGCAGAGTAAACAAGAGGTGAGATTTCAGAGGGCACAGGCTCCACCCTGCTCTGGTCTGTAAGGACTCCTCGACCTACTGGACCTGTGGCACATCTTGCCCACGGCTTCAAATCTGCCATGTCAGCTTGCCTGCCAGCCTTGAATTTTCCACAGAAGTTTCAAGCAGCACAGCATTTTTGCTGCTTGCTATGTGAGCAGGGAATGCTGCTGGTGTCCCTTGAAGATGCACCAGAATATCCAGTCTGCAGCCCAGTTGCAGGAGGGGCAGGGAGCTCAGTGCCTTGCTGCTGTCTGGCAGCAGCTGCCATGGACTCCTATTCACGCGTGGTTTGGCATCAGGTGGATTGCCTTCTGGCTGTACTGGAGGAAGGCAAATGAGGTGCTCCTGCACATAAATGACAGTGGATTCTGTCCTTTGAAAAGGGGGGAAAATTCAGTTGTGTGCTGTGCAGTTAAACACTCATCTACAGCTTAATGCTGTGAGTTGAAACTGTCAGGTAAGTGTGCTTTTCACTTGCTTGGACAAGACCACTGAAATGCGCTCTTTATGCTCAGGTGTTCAGAGAATATCCACTCAACTTCTTACCTTTTCTCTCTTTCAGCCACTTTCAGAATAGGGATTGAGGCAGAGCAGGGAACTGAAGGCTTCTCACTCCTTGATGCTACGTCAAATTTTCCATAACGAACAGTGCTCATTTCCACAAAGACTGAAGGATTAATTGTTCATAGAAGAAGAACCTCCTTTTTAACCCAGAGAAAGGATAGCTTTTCTTCCAGTATTGCATTTGCCTAATGCACTTACCCAGGAGTGCTTGTAAATAATTGAAAAGATAGAGTTCTGCTGCAGTTTGTAATGGGCAGTTGCGACCTACAGGACCTATAAAGATGAACAAGTTGTGATTACTGCAGCATTTAAGACCAGCCATGGGAGCAATGTTTTGGTTAGACAGAGAGTTGAAAACAGGATCTGCCATGCATCAGCTGTGCAAGTCAGCCTCTACCTTATCAAAACACGTCTTATACAACTCTACTTTAAAAATGTGCTGCTCAGGAGGACAGGAAAAAAAATATGAAGCTCTACTACTAGTGAGAGGAGATGTTGTGCCAGCTGTGCATATTGTTCTGGCATTATACCACAGCTGTAACTATCTGCGTCTGTTGCTACCTTGGAGCAGTTTGCCAACTATTCTTATGAGACAGAAATGAATGCCTAACAGGCAGAGCTCCTGTTTATAAAATTTGCATTGAAACTGGGCCACTGTAAGAACAAATGTAATCCTCCCACAATCCTCCCCTACCCCATCTAACTGTAGTGAATAGAGCCAAAGGGAGCAGGTCTGGGGCCTAACACCTGCAGCTGAAGTGACAGAGCCTGGCTCACTGCCACTACATGGGGCCTGGGGCATGTACTGGGCTGTGCTAGGCCTTGTGTGTGTGTGCCCTGCTTCTGTAAGGCGAGGTTGAGCCTCAGCCTGTGCTGTCACACACACTGACCCAGCCCAACGGCATGTTTCAGCCTTCCTCTGCTTCAGTGCAGGGCCGTTTAGCACACATCTGCAGCATAGCAAATGGGCTGCTGGGGCAAGAAGCTAAAGCTTGGCCATGGTACTCTAGGATTAAAAAAAGACAGCAAACCATTTATGTTAGAAGCAGTGGTGTAAGCCAGGTTTTTTTCTGGACAGGTGCCATTCAGTTTCACACTCTTGGACCACCCTGCCTCCCCTCCTCCCGCTATGCCCTATTGCATTACCTTACTGCAACAGGTGTACAGCTGTGAGACACCCGCGTTGCACGTGGTGCAGCCCAAGCAGTGACTGTGGCTCTGTGGCTGGGAAGCTCAGGTCTAGGAAAGGACCCCGCAGCTCCATCAGTACAACCCCCTGGTAGAGCAGGTTCTCTACAGCAGGTCGCACAGGGAAGCATCCTGGTGACTCTTGAATATTTTCAGAGGATGAGACTCCACAGGCTTTTCAGGCAGCCTGTTCCAGTGCTCTGTAACTCCCTGAAAAAACTTTTCTCATGTTTGTCTGGAACTTCCTTTGTTCCAGTTTGTTCCCATTGCTCCTTGTCTGATTATTGGGCACCACCAAAAAGAACTTGGCCTCATCTGCTTGACTTGCCCATTAGGTATTTACAGGCATTGATTACATCTCTCACCTTTCTCCAGGTTGACCAGCCCTTGGGGCTCTCAGTGATTCCTCACAAGGAAGTTGCTCCAGGCCCTTAACCATCATTGTCACTCTGCTGCTCTCTCTATAGCAGTTCCTTGTCTTTTGTGCAGTGAGGAGCCCAGAACTGGATGCAGCACTCCATGCACTCCAGCAGGGCACAGCAGAGGGGAGGATCACCTCCTTCGCCCTGCTGGCCACACTCTTTGTAACACACCCCCAGGAACCATTGGCCTTCTTGGCTACCTGGGCATATTGCTGGCTCATGGCCAACCTGCTGCCCACCAGGAGCCTCAGGTCCTTCTGTGCACAGCTCCTCTGCAGCAGCTCAGCCCCTCCTCAGGTGTAGGACCCTGCACTTGCTCTTGCTGAATCTCATAAGGTTCCCTTCTGCCCAACTTATGAAACAGCCCAAACCCTCTGCTATTACTTGTCTCAAAAGGAAAGTGGGAGATGGGGTATCTGTGCTGGTTCCTTGGCTCTGTTAGCAGAGATGTGCAACTTCCAGAAGCCATCAGGCGCTTGCTGGGACCCTACTGCAAACTGCTGCGACAGTGGGGACGTGGGCACTACACAGGGTGCTCCCTGACAAAAACCTCTGGTCACATTGACTCTGGCCATAAGGGACATCTAATAACACTTGGGTTTCAGATGACACTTAGAGGTTACACTTACTAGCATTTGGCACTGTCTATGTTACAAGAGGGATGAGGACTAGGTCACAAGGTGAAAAGTCAACATCCTTGTAACCATGTAACATCAGGAGCAGGCCAGCTGTACTGTTTGCAGTACTGCCCTGCAAACTTGCTCAGCACCTGGGACCCTTGTCACTGTTTTCAGGCCCTTAGTACAGAGTTACATTTTATGGGCTACAGACACCAAAGTGAAATATCCCCTCATAAGCACACTAACTCATTAGTATACAATCACAGTATTAAATGTTTAAAAATAAATAAATAAATAAATAAAACCAATAATCATAATTGTTGACACCAATACATTATTAAATTAAGCTGATGATGTCCCTGCTGTGAAACTGCAGGGTTGAAAATTAAAAACAAAGAGAGGCATCATTAAGCTGAGTTACAGTCCTGTGTAGGGTTTGACTGCCGCTCACTTGAGAACACAGCTCTGAAGTGCCTTTGGCAGCAGTGAGTCTGCTTGCTCGGAGACCGCTTGTGAGGAGGGCCTGGGTTCTGGCTCTGCCAGGGTTTTGTTCACTTGCTTACCACCAAAGCTTCAACAAACAAACAACCAACAAAAAACAAAACCAAAAAAAATCCCTGCAATTCTAAAGAGAAAGTTCAGAATGTAGTGCTTTCAATGCCACACAATTTCCTGTAAGCCTCTTGAAATCTGGAGGCGTGATTTTAAAAAATACAAAATCCCCAAGCTGAGTAGTGCAGTTTAACTCAAATTTGAAATAGTTACATCCTCAAGTCACCCAGAAACCAGCCCTGCATGTCCAGGCTCTCTGGAACGACTGTCTCATGCCACAGACAGACACAGTGAAGAACCTCAGCTTAAATTCCTGTTCTTGCTCTGCAGACAGCTTCCTCGTGGGCACACACCATGCTTCCAGATGACAGCCAGAGTTGTTTATATTTTTGCATGCTTGCAAATAAATTTTAACTTAAAAAAAAAAAAAAGAAAAAACCTTTGCAGTTCATCTTGCAATAAAGGATTTCAGATAGTGAACATGATGGCTATAAAAAGGGGCACCCACAGTTCACAAAACAACTTGGTGCCCTTTATATGTTTGTCTGCATCTAATACAGGCCCAAGAGGTTTCCCCTTTCAATGATTTTTTTTCTCATGCTTGATTTATTTCTCTTTTTACAGAAACCAGGAACATCAGGCCTCATCTGTTCTGTTGAGATTGTACAGGATTGACTCCTTAGTAGCAAACTTTTTGCCCAATTATCAATTGTAATTATTATTATTATTATTATTATTATTATTATTTGGTGTATAAAGAAGATTTCTATTCTCAGTCAGGTTTTGCTTCCTTGAAATGATCTGTCACCAAATGGAGTAGCAACAGAAATCGTAGAATCACAGAATGGCCTGGGTTAAAAGGACCACAATGATCATCCAGTTTCAACCCCCTGCTATGTGCAGGGTCGCCAACAACCAGACCAGGCTGCCCAGAGCCACATCCAGCCTGGCCTTGAAATGCACCAAGATTTAAATTTGCTAAATAAAAAACAAACAGGACAAAAACAAGAAAGCAAGACCAACCTCTCAGTCTCCCATAGGGCACATCATTACAAATCCCCCTTCCCCTCCCACCTGGCAGGACACCAGAAAGAGACTGAGGAGGTGTAGGCTGGAGGCTGAGGGGCTGGGCTGGGCCCCCATCAGCGGGCAGCACAGGGCAGCAGCCCTCCCAGGCCTTAAGAACCAGGATAGCGCACAAGATTAGAAATCCATCAGTGAACAAGGCTTTACTGACGACTTTTTCATACAGTTAAAAAATAAAAATACAGAACAACAGCAGACAGTGCCACGTATTAAAAACGAATGAAATGGGCTCTATTTAAATGGTATTAAAATTAATTAGAAACTAAAAATCTTAGCACTTCGGTTGAGGTGTTCTGAGCCTCCACCAAAATGATTGGCCTTAAAAACAACGGGGTTGTGTGACACACAAAGAAAACATGGAATTTGAAAAGACAGTGTGGGTTAGGCAGTGTCTTTGACTATAACTATCACCATATGTTCTTCTTCCAACTTCCCCAATGTCCTTAGTGCTGACTGGAGGTACTGCTGAGAGAATTCACAAGGAGGGAACGCATAAAGCATGCCTGTGCTGTCTCTGCCCTTCGCTCCTCCCACGGGCAGGCTGATAACCCCAGCAGCCTGCTTCTGTTTCAAGTAGGAGACCAGATTCCTGAGCAGCCGTCGCTGCAAGCCGGGCTCGACCACGGGAAAGGTCCCCTCGGACCCCGCACTCCCCGGGGCAGACTGCGTTGCCAGGAGCACGGCATAGCCATTGGGGCTGCCTTGTTTGATACGGCGAGTCACTTCATCCAGCTTGGGCTGGTCGAGCCGAAGTCTCTGAGCGATTTTGAGCTGCGTGAGCTTCCCACCAGACAAATGGTCTTTGAGGAGTCCATTGATGACACCGAGGTCTCCCTCCAGAATGTGCATAGATGTGGGGAAGCAGCTGTTTTTTAGCACGAGAAGCCCATTCCAAGCAAGTTGCAGCGTCTGAGCGTATTCTGACAAATTCTTTAACTTTTTGGTCTCAGATTTTGGCTCCTCGTGAGTTTTTGATTCTGATTCACCAGTTCGATGATTGCGTTCGCTGTCCCTTTTTTTAGGCTGTGGAGCATCGGATGCCTCACGATGGGGTTTCTCCTCAGTTGTGTGACGATTGTTCTGAAGGGAGTTACTCTGCTCTTTCTCAGTTCCGGATTCTGTAGTGTGATTCTCTTTGCGGGCCCGCTCCGGGCTGCGGTCTAAAGCTGGCCCACTGGCCTTTGTCCTGCTTCTGTCCTCGTAAGGCGAGTGAGTAGTCCTGCCACGGTCACTGGAAAGGCTCCGTCGTTTCCGCCGCTCTTCCCACAGTTTGGGCACAGTGCGATCGCTGTCACTGGCCCATCGCTCTCCACTCCGGCTACGCACTGATCGGCTGTAGCTCTCCAAGTTGTTTCTGCGTTCAGCGTTTTTGGCAGGACTGGCCCAGTCTGCCTCTGCAAAGCTCCTGTCTCTGTCCGAGTACAGGAGATGTGGAGGAGTCCTATCTCGCACCCTCAAGTCTTGCTCTAGGCTTCTGTGTCTGCTATACCCATCAGCAAGCAGTTCGTAGTGCACAGGGAGAGGTGCAGGCTGGTACTGCTGCGGGTATCTCGTCTCTTCTGCTTTGGCAAAATCCACACGAAGTCTCCTCTCTGGACCGCCCAAGGGAAAGCCTCTCATCTGCGCGCAGGCGGCCTGGGCAGCGTCCAAGCTTTCGTACTGGATATACGCAAAACTGTCTCCCTTCACATAGTCAATAGTCCTGATGCTGCCAAAGCGGTCAAACTCCCTTGCCAGGGCAGCTAGAGAAGTACTGGGGCCAAGACCACCCACCCACAGCCGGGTAGTAGGGTTGGCTTTACCGTAGCCAATTTTGATAGGGTTCCTGCCGACAACGCGGCCTGACATTGCGACCTTGGCCCGATGCGCCATGTCTAAGTTTTGGAACTTGAGGAAAGCGTAAGCCCCACCTTGGCCGCGGGCAGGGCGCTTGATCACCACTTCTTCAATGATGCCGTACTTCTCGAAGGCACGTCTCAGCTCCACCTCTGAGACGTTGTGGTCCAAGTTGCCGATGAAGAGGTTGCGGGTGGCTCTCTGATCATCCTCCGGCATCAGGTCTTCCTCGGCCACGATGGGGTAGCTGTAGGGCCGGCCGCGCTCGTCATACAGCCCATAGTAATCCAGGGCCCGCTCCCGCTCCCGGGAGAGCCCAATGGCGGCGGCCTCCAGCGCGAAGGCGGCGGCGGCAGCGTGCGCATGGCGGGGCCGCGGCTCCCGCAGCAAAGGGCTGGTGACAGGTGAAAGCGACCGCTGCTTGTACTGGTAGGCGCCGTGCAGAGGCGGCAGGTAGCCCAGGGGCTCCGGCGAGGGCGCGGGGGGCGGTGTGCGGCTCCTGCGGCCCCCGCGCAGGTACACGGGCTCCACCTTGAGCGGCCGGTCATAGAGGAGCAGCTGGCGGGCCCGGGCGTGCCGGCGGGCGTCGCGGGCGTCCCCGGGGTGTCGGAAGTTGACGTAGGCGACGCGGCCGAGCTCGGGCGTGTGGGAGAGCTTGACGCTGATGTCCCCGGCGCCCCCCCCCGCGAAGCGCTGGAAGAGGCGGAACAGCCCGTCCTCCAGCAGCTGGTCGGGCAGGGCCGCGCTCAGCCCGCTCACCAGCAGCGTCTTGTACTCACAGGAGCCGGGCGGCTCCCCGGACAGCCCCGCCGAGCCCCCCAGCGGCGCCAGCAGCAGCGAGGGCGCGGCGCCCGGCGGCGGCCCGGCCAGCAGCAGCGAAGGGGCCACCACGGCGCCGGGCAGGGCCTTTGCCTTGGGCACGCCGAGCGCGCGGGACGACGACGACGATGAGGATGACGAGGGGGCGGCCTGGCCGCGGGCGCCCGAGGCCGAGCCGCTCGCCGCCGGGCGGTGGTTGGAGTCGGCGCCGCCGGCGCGCTCATCGCCGCGGTGGCTGCGGGAGCCGGAGCCGCCTCCGCCGCTTCCTCCACTTCCTCCGCTTCCTCCGCCGCCGCCGCCGCCGCCGGGCGTGGACTTGTCCCGGCTGCTGCGGGAGGCGCCCGAGCTGCGGTGCAGGCCGCGCCGGCTGCTGCTTTCGCGCTCGCGCTCGCGCGGCCTCTTGGCGGCGGCGGCGCGGCCTCCCCCAGCCCCCGGCGGGCTGGCGTCCCGTTCGCTACCGCGCTTCATGGCGCTGGGGCCCGCGGCTCAGGAGACGCCTCCGGCGGCCGCCGCCATCTTGGACAAAAGGGAACGAAGGCGGCTCCGGCCGCCGCGCCGCGCGGGCTCTACGTCATCGCCGTGCGCCCCGCCGCATGGCGGCGTAAAGAGCGTGGAGGCGCAGCGCAGCGACGTGCGGAGGAAGCACCTCCCGCCCTCGGCCGCGCGTCACGCCGGGCTGCCAATGGGAAGGAGCGTGCGCGGCGCGGCCCCGCCCCCGCCCCTCCCCCAACCGCGGGAGCGCGCCGCGCAATCACGTGACACCGCACGCTACCCCCGGTTGAACCGTAGTACTTTAATGAGCCCCGTACAGCGCGCGCCGTAGCGGCTTCTCCGCGCCCGCCCCGCGCGGCCCCTCCTCAGAGGTCGGCGCGAGCGCCCGCCGCCCTCGGCGCGTACTTGGGCATCAGTTCGTGGATCCTGCGGATGAAGTCGGTTTTCTCGGCGCAGCCCTTGCACGCCTCCCCCCAGTCGTCGAGGATCCGCCGCAGCTCCTTGACGCGCAGCTTGCGCAGGTCGGCGGTGCTCAGGTCGATCTGTTTGTCTGCGGGGAGAGCAGAGCCGCGCTCAGCCCGCAGCGCCGGGGGCTCCGGCGGTGTCACAGCGCGGCGGGAGAAACAAAGCTGAGCTGCGGAGCTCCGCTTGAACCCGAAACCCCGCTTCGCCCCAGCGCTTCGGCCGTCCTCCGCGGGACGGAAAAAGGTGGTGGGGTCAGCGCCGAGGAGAGGCCAGCGGTGACAGCGGCAGAAGGCTGGCTGGGAAGGCTGGGAAGCTACAGGGCGTTAGTGCACGAAACGAGGAGCACAGCAGCCACAGCCCGGTGACTGTCTCCAGGGGACGTAAGGGAGGAGAGGGGACAGCAGCCAGAAGGCACTTCCGTGGCTGTTCTTCACATCAGTCTTCTCAGGAGGAGCACAGCACCTCATGTTCAAGGAGGGTGGTAAGTGGCAGTGCCCATTGCCAACAGGCTCCAGGAGCAGGTGCCAAAGCAGCTCTCATTGATGACAGTAGCACAGCCCAGCAGCCCTCGCATGAGCTCAGCAGGCACCATCCTGGACCCAGGCATAGTGCTGTCCTAGTGGCCAAATTCCAAACAGGGCTTTGAGCACAGCACTGCTGGCACGAGGGAGGTCAAGCAGTGGCTCTGCAGAAGCTGAAGGGCAGGCAGCAGCCCCTCCTGAGCATCCCTGTACAGCTGTCCAGGACATTCACAGACAACAGCCCAACTTGTATAACTACCTATGCTGACTTCAGCGTGCTTTTACCCAGAATAATTCAGTACCCCAAGAAAGTGCACCCATTTCCCCTTCTGCTGGCAACTCACCGTATTTCAGTTCGCAGATCTGACTGTCTTTCTTCTTCAGTTTATCGCAGATCTTTTCCACGGGGATGTGGTGACTCATGGGTTTTGACACCTCGTTAATAATTTTGGTGGCTGCATCACTTGTAGCCCCAATATAATAGCACTGAAGGGAAGAAAAAAGCAAGGCGGATATGTGTGGAAACATTTTTCTGAAAAGGTTTTCTAGCCATCTCTTTGCAGTTTGACATTTACAGTTAGAGAACTTTCCAAGGGACTGCCCCAGGAGGGCAAAAGCAAGCCTGACTGTGGCCAAGGGTCACTTCCCACACTGCCTACCACTTTTCAGCACTGCTTTGCTGCTGTCCTGCTTTTCAAGTTGTTAACAACTTGAACTGGATTACTGAAGTTTTCTTTGTTAAAGGACTTTCTGAAGCATTGCCCCCCTCTTTCTGTGGGTGTCTCTCTGCAGGAGAGCTCATCTGATTTTACTTAGGGCAGTTCAGTTCTCCTATAGTTCTCAGCTACACAGCTATAAAGTACTAAGCATTTTAACAGTTTATGTAACACTCCAAATGCAGTCTAACAGGGAAGTCCTACAGCAAATAAAAGCTTTGTAATCCCAAGCCCTTTAATAACAGGGAGAGATAAGGTCAGCAGTAAGACGCTGACAGATATATAGATATATTTAAAATGAACTTCATACAACAAGGTCTCTTGCAACAACAAAAAATTACAGCACCAGTTGTGGCCACAGAGCCAGGAAGCACAGCCCCCAGTGAGGGACATCATACAAACACAGAAACACTAGTTTCCCTTTGTTTGCCAAGTGTTCTACAACTTATTTCTTCCAGAGGCAATGTCGATGACTACTTACCAACCGGTTCTCTTTGCCTTTTGCCTCTCTGCAGGATTTCATGAGCTCCTTTTCAATACTGGTGGGTGTGAACTCAGCATTGTTGTCCTTTAGACTCTGGTAGAATCTCCCCAGGAAGGTGACACACACTGGAAGGGAAGATGGGTGGAGTTACCTGTCACTGCAAGAGCCTCACAACAGCTCTCAGAAGCAGAGGAACAGAATAAGGGATTTGCAGAACAGAACATTTAGAAGCTGCGTTAGCAATCTGTGACTTTGGGTGTTTCAGCACACATGAGGCAGCAATCTGCCCTGGTAGTTCTGGTGAGTTTCTGACAATATGAAGAAGATCCCTGGAACTGTCCAGTGAGTTCTGCATATGGGCTGAGTGAGCAGTGGGATTCAGCTGTGGGGTGTGGCACAAAACAGTGCTGAGGTAAAAACAGAAACTAGATGCCCTATTCTTGCTGCTTTGATAAACTGCTTGTCAGACTATGCGCTTCAAAACCAGTTCTGACTGGAAACCAACTCATCTAGGAAGCAAATAAGCTTCCTAGAGTGATATGACATTACTAATGTCATATCAGTGCCTATCAGTGATATGACATTACTAATGACAATATACACTAGAGTCTGTAATGGGCTTGTGTACAGTTGTTTCCAAGAGAAAAAGCTGTAACACGATCACATGATGCACCAACTTGGCATGTTTCTCTCCTCACTTCCCACAAACTTCTGCACCAGTTTCAGAGAGACTGAAAGATAACAAAACTTCCACAAGCACACCAGCAGCAAAGCGGACAGAGCCAAGCCCTGCCGATGGGAAGGGCAGCACAGTCCTCACTCAGCCCCCCAGGCAACAGATTGTGCTCCAGAGAAAGCACAGCACAGGGAGGGAGGCAGCTGCAGCACCCAGCAGGATCCGTGCAGCACAGCACCATGTGACCCTGCAAGCTCGCAGTCAGGTTTCACACTCGCTGCTCACACAAGTGGTCTGCAAGCACCGGCAGCACCGCTGGAGGTGCGTGCCCCACCAGTTCCTGCAGCAGGAGCCGGGGGTTCCCAGCTCTCCCGCTGGCCCAGCCCTCCGTGCGTGTGTGCGTCCCAATGGAAAAGGGTGAGCAAGCCTCATCATCAACTTGCATTCAACTCCGGACTCGAGCACAGAACGCGGGCAGACGCAGGAAATCAACGGGACTGCCTGCAGCCAACCGAACACCGACTGCCGTCGCTCGAAGCTGGCAGTAATCACAAACCGTCCCGGTCGGGAAAGCCTTTTCTTACGCACACAACGCCATCATTTACCTCACATCAGTCTGTCTCCAGTCACAGACACACACTGATGTCCGCTGTCTGCGAGTGAAAACCTTCGGGAAGAACAGAGACGCTGCAGGCAGTGCCGCCGGCGGCCGCGGTACAGCGGAGCGCCGTGCCTTCCTCGAGCCGAGCGGCGGCACCGCGGAACCCCGGAGCTCCCCGGCTCCGCCTCGAGCCGTCCCGTCCCGCGTTCAGACCGGCCCAGCGCGAAGCTGCTGCAGCCGCACCGCGACTTCTGCAAGCAAAGCGGCACCGCCGGGACGGGCGGGGCGGGGCGGCGCCGGTCGGCACAGGACGGGCCTCGGGAGCACCGCGGCCCGGACGCAGCCTCCCGCCCGGGCAACGGGGGACTCCCGCGCCCCGCCACGAGCCGCTCTCGGCGGCCCGGCCCACGCTCCAGCCCCCAGCGGCAGCGTGCGGGCGCGGCCTCGCCTCGCCGTGGGGCAGCCCCTTCTCCGGCCCGGACCCACTCACCCTCGCACTCCCCGTTCCGCAGCGCCCGGCTGCCAGCCGGCAGCAGGAGCAGGGCCAGCGTCGCCCAGAGCCCGTGGGCCGCCTGCATCCCGCCTCGCTCGGCGCCCACCACAGCGATACCGGCACCGCCGCCCCCGCGCTGGGCCGGTTCCCCCCCCCGCCACTGCTCCCATTGGCCCGCTCCCCCGCCCGTCTTACACGCCGCCTCCTTCCATTGGCCAACCCGCGGCCTCCACGGGAGAGTTGGCGGCCGCTGATTGGAGGAGGTAGCGAGAGGCGGGTTTCTCCTCCTCCCTGGGCCGCCATTTTTGTTAAGGGAAAGTTGCCCTTGCGGACACCATCTTGTAGGTGGGCAGATCCTTAGCAAGGCGAGGCGTTCTTGAGCGGGAGAATTTGAGATGGACAGAGCGCAGGTGGGGGTTTGGAGGGTGAGTAGTTTGAGATGCACCTCAGATTCACTGCAGCGTTTTGCTTTGCACGTGGAAATGGCTCGTGGTTAGAGGCAGGAGCCGTTACAGAGGCACAGATGTCGATTGCAGTATTTAAATTGTTTGCTTGTTTCCTTCATTGATAACCACCAAAGCTGGGATTGAGCTTGTTTCTAAGCCCACGTCAAACTCCTTGACGTGGAAAAAAAAAAAAGAAAAGAAAAAAGGAGGGAAAACAGCAGTGAATGGGATTTTTTTGTTTGTTTGTTTGTTTTTGCGATGTATGGTTTTGGTGGGCTAATAGAGCAAAGGGAAAAGGTGAGCAAGGTAGGGCTGATAGAAGAGCCGGAACGCGGTCGTCTCAAGGATACTGTTCCCTAAGAAGGGGTCAACCCTATAAGCCAAGGGGACAAGCGTGGGGTTAGGAGAGAGCCGGACCGGAGCGGGGCTGCGGGTGTGCTGGTGCGGCACCGCCGTGCGCGCGGAGGAGCCGTGTGTGCTCACAGGGAGGCTGCCCTGCAGGACGGGCGGTGCGAGAGGCAGATGTGTGTGGAGACACCTGAAAGGACCAGAAGGGGCTGCTCTCAGTCCGAGGGGACAGGGAGTTGTGTTGGTCAGGGGGGAAGGTGAAGCCAGGTCGCGTCTGTGTGTTACACAATGTAACGCAGGACTGCCGTCAATGGCTGTGGAATAGAAGCTGCGGTGGAAATATTAGTTTGAATTTGATTTGTGTGAAGTGAGTAGCAAAGCTTGTAAAAAGGGAGAAGGGATATATGAGTGATAGCCATAAAGAGAAAACCTGTAGATCTTTTGGAATCGGGCTATGATTTGTATGTGTGTATGAAAAATGCATTTATCCTTCCAAACACTGTCCATGCACTGCCTAGCAATGTTAATGTACCTACAGACCTGAATAGGAAAATAAAATGAGGAGCTCACTGTGTGCCTGAAGTTCGTTAGCTGTGCAATGGTCTGTGCAATTGCTGTAAGGCTAGTACTATGGCTATAATAGATAGCGTAAAGTAAACCCGTGTGTCCGTGTCAATACTGGTGGCAAATATGTGAATGAAGTCTAGGAATTCACACATTCAAAGAAACCCTTGCTTCAGATTGTCTGTAGTGTGTGACTACCAAGTCAGTAGCTGAAGAAGCCGAGTGGTTGTTGGTATGGAGTATAGTATTCTCTTCCAGCTAAATAGAGATTGATAGTGACGTGATCACTTTAGTGTGGTTCTTGTGATGAGACAGTGTGAAGGTTGCTTTAATGGCTGTGGGGATAAAGGTAATCTGCAGGATTTAGTGTAAATCTCTTGGATGCTGATACTCCTGCTTAAGTGCTAAGGAGTGAACTGCTCTGGGCATGCGAGGACCCTGGCTGGGCTCAGCTGCCTGCTGGTGGGAGACTGGTTGGGGGCACCTGCTCTTTTATCAGTCCTGGGGAAGGCCAGCAGTAGGGAAAAAAAGGCTGAGAATATTCTGTAACATACTAATTGTGCCCTATTTGGGGGTTAATTGCTGGAAGGCAGTGGCCTAACTCTCCCAAAGCTATAGCTATGGTACAGGTACAGTACGAAGTCTCGAGCAGTGAGTTGTGCTACAGGTGAGCATCTGTATTCACACAGACAGCAAAGAAGCTGGTATTTCTGATGGCTGGTTCTGCTCAGTAGCTCAAATCCAGCTGCCTGAATGTCAGAGATAGGTGCTTCTGGGTCTGATTTTTTCTTAAGCTGGCTCTAGGAATAAAGGCATATTTGTACAGAGGCAAGGGTGGCTGAATCTTTACAGACTTTATTTGCTAGAGGTTTGATTTCTCCTCTTAACAACTTTTGTATAACTCAGTATCAATTTCATTACAATCAGATACAGAAACTTTCTTCCTTGGATCAGGTGAAGATTTGGCTGGGGTATCTACATTTGAGGGTGTTAGTGTGGCTTAGCTTAGAGTGTTTGGCTTGCACTCAAATGCTGCATCTTTTGGCTTTAATGGAAACTTTAAAAAACTCTAATTAAAATCTGAAGGCTTTTTGTGTTGAACTCTTTTCATTTTCCACAATTCACTAATAAATGCTTTCAGCTGAATAATATATAAACTGAACATATATAAACTGAGATTTGCTAGGTTGGGTTAGAAGTGACTCAGGGTTTGCTTTGCACAGACATCTTCCAGGTGTCAGCTAAGCCACATTTTGGTATCTTAGGTGTATTACCATAGACAAGTACCTTCTTAGTAGTTCCTACATGGTTCATGGGCTACGTAATGAAGCAAGAAGGTGGACTGGCAGCTCAGGACCAGCTTACATTATGCTTTTGTTATATTTTACAGCTAAATGTCTTCTGGGATGAGGATTTTTCTGTTGTTTTGTCTTGACAAGGTGGGGTAGATAGGCTGCTTCTGTCTCCTGCAGCCTGACCTGACTTATTAGTTGTAATGGAAGAAGGTGTCTGTCTTTGAGATTAATCATATGTAGCAGTGAGTACAGATTTTAATTTCCATATCCTATTTTCCTGGTTTTAATTACCAGTCTTTCATACCCATTCTGTTAAAATGATTGGTATGTGCACACTTAAAACTGAGAAATGAAGTTACTGCCAAGACATCTTGCCATTGCAATAAACTGATGAACTCAGCAGTCACCCCGTGAGCACTGCTTGGAGCAGCGAGGTATCCAACAAAGAACGAACCACGGATTCTGCTATTTGGAAGCACTGCCTCAGACCTGGTAAATGTTTGTGACAGATGAACAGGTGTCTCAGTCTGCTGCGCATCAGGTAAACCAGTCTAGCTGCCAGATATGCCTGATGCTCACTTTGAGAAGTTATTAAAAGAAATAGAGGACTGGCTGTGAGAGAACGCCTTGGCAACTCTTCTCTGACTACACTTAACAGCCACAAGGACCTTCTGGTTGCCTCCTCCCAGCCCTCTTCCATCAAAGGAAGACGGGAAGCAGTGGCTGTTCCTCTGAACTGTGGGTGTCAGGTATCCCTCCAGCACAGCGTGCAGGGATTAATGCTGTGCTGCTTCTCTTTGACAGCCGTATCTGTGGATGTCTGGAGCACACTGAGGATTGCCCTGTCAGGAGGACAGCAATGAATGTACAGCTGTAGCACTTTAATATCAGGTATTAATCTTTAATTTCACATCACAGCAGTCGAGTGAATGGGTAAGGGAAAGAGATCCAAAACAAACAGCAGATATTTACATCTAAAATTCACACCACTTATTTGTTGATTCTGGAAACATGCTATCACAATATATACAATGAAGTACCTGTAGGACACTTGTACAAATTATTTTTTTCCTTTTCAATTTGATTTCCATTATAGATAAGATAGCTGTTCTGATTTTATTTTAAACATGAATACACAAAAGAGAAGTGGTAGAGGTTTTTGCCTGTTTTAAATAAGCACAGAATGCCAGAGGTTAAAAACACATTTACAGGGCAGAATACCAGTTGGACATCACAATCTATACATTTTTTGCTCAATTTCCTGTACAAATACACAGCATTCAAATGGGGGTATTTACAAGAAGCGTGAATAGAGGAAATTCTAAATATCGCTTAATTTGTTCCCCAAAGGCTTTTGCCCTCTCCAGCCTCCCCAGTTTTGGCTGATTCTCCCAACACAGGGATATGGAATATCCCTTACCTGAAAAATGGTAAGCAGGCTAAAAAGTAAATGAAGGAAAGGATGGATAAGAATCATAGTTTTGCACGCAGCAATAAAACCAACCCAGCCGTTGGAAAAACGTGTAGGATTTGGACAACAATTCTAATTGCTTTTCTCCTATTACTGTGGTTTCTTCTCAGTTTTGCTTCAGATGGGGCCAGCAGGTACGCTCACGATGGAGAGATGTGCTGCGGAATTCCACCAACTGTTTCAGAAATGCACGTGCTACTCTGTTATGCAAAGAAACCCAAGGAATGCATTACGTCTGAATCAGCGACGCACAGAACAAAGGGGTGCTGTTCAAAACATCCTGTTACTGCACTCCATACAAAGAATCTCCAAATCCTGTTGCACCAGGGCAACAACTGCTGTTGCTTCTGCCTGCTCCAGGACTGAGTTTGCTGACGGAGTTGCACTATGCCAGAAAGCCACCCCACCCTCCAGAGAAATACGAGTTCCACAAAGTACTTGTTCCAGCATTCACAAAATCTAACGGCAGTCTACCTTCTGCACCTTTTAAGTTAAGCACTGAAAAGGGCGACAGAATGTGCAGTAGATATCAGAACAACAGAAAGTTAACTCCACAGAGGCTCAAATTCAGTAAATTCAGGAATTTATTCTGTCCTCCTCTGTGTGCACCTGCCATAAATCGGGTATCCGTGTACACCATTTGATTATTTTCAACCCCCTATGAATACACAGTAATGACAGACATTCAGAATGATCAGACTGCTGTTGTACAGCCCCTCTAATCAGAGCAAGGTGGTGCACTGTGAGAGCAAACCTCAGGGAGGTCTTCCAGCAGAAATGGACTCTGCCCATGTTGTCTGCATTCTTGCTTTTGCAGTTTTATTTGCAAGATCTGCTGTTTTTCTGTTTTGTTTTGTTTTTACAATGAAGGAATTCAGTATATCAGTACATTTACTACTTTCAGAAGTAAATTTTCCCACAGAAAAAAGCAAAAAAAACCAAAAAACCCCAAACCAAATGTGATTAGGGAGATGGAATTGAGTACTTAATTCTCTTAAAAATTTCTAAGAACCTCAAATTAGAGATTAACATGAAAATATTTCACTCACTTCTAAGGAATTGCCTTGACTTACCTTCATTGAAAACATAACTCTGAATTGAGCTTTCATACCTGTGTGCTATACCAGAGACCCAGCTTGGTTCATTAGCAGTTAGGGCTAATTCTGCTACTGGAAAACTCTACTCCTGTCCATCATAAGCCGAATTTTAATACTGTTCTCTTCTTAATTGGGAAGGTTGCTGGGATTACAAGCAGCCTGTGTTAGTAACAAAATAGAGGAAGCACAAGAGACTTTGTTCCAGCCAAATGGACCATTTAAGAAACAGAACCATAATTTATTACTTTTGTATGGGCTTGAGAAAGAAAAGAAAGACATCCTCTGAAAATCCCCTTCGTACGACAGCTGACCGAGCCCAGACTTTGTACAGATGAGATGGTCTCATCTTTAGGAGAGTTTAGAAGCAACATTCTCTGCCCAGTCACTGTATTTAGAGGTAGTGCTAAAGGTGACCTGTAAAAGATGTGTATCCTTTTTTGCTTCTTTATGCTGATTGTAGCAGGAGAAACTGAGTGGCTAGGGGAAGAACAGGACACGTTGATGCTACTCCTGTTTCTGACACTAATTTACATGCTGGAGGTAAGTCTTGTTTGAATGTGCTTCAGGTTTTTCACTGGTAACTTACCATCTTCTGAAGTGTGCTTTGCAGTCTGCAGGTGGAAATGAATGTAAGGAAAGGCGTGTGTGTGCGTGAAATGTGTGCTGGCATGGCAGCAGGAAAGAGCATTACTTCTTTATATAAAAACACTAGATACTTGCTTTTTTGATCCAGTTTCTTGAAAAATATGAAAATAGGAATAGAGGGTTTCTTCTAGTTCTTTTTACACCACAGGTCTTGCCTCTGTTACCACAGAACTTTTTCCTGTCTTGTAATGTAACTCAACTAAGCAAATACTGATTAAAAGGCTTGTTTCACAACATATGTACTGACTCCACTTCTGCATAGTTCTGTTTCTTGTTTTTGTTTGATTTTTTTTTTTTCTTTTTTCTTTTTTTCTAGATCTCCCACCTGCACTGAATTCTTCATCCCTTTCTGGAGCCTGACCATAAAAAAAGCTAGGGGGGGAAGGCTGTATCGCCACATGAAGAGAAAAGAACCAAAACCTTCAAAAAGAGAGAAGGAGCTCTTACAACTTCTTCATACTTTCTAAAGAGCAAAAGAGGAAAGAAATGTTCCTTCTTTACAGGCTGCCTTTAAGATTTCTGACTCTAGGGTGCACGCTACACTGAGCATTTCTTGCATCTGCCTACTGTGAGAGATGGACATCCTCCACGCCAGCTGCAGTGACTTTTGGAGGGGGGCTGAGGAATGACGGTTTTGGGTAATGGATCTCAGCTCCTGGGTGATGGAAGTTAGTGAGAATTGTGATGTTCAGCCCTGAGGCAAGGAATAGTGGATGTCATGCATTTAGCCACTTTTTCTTTACTGGTGAGTCATCAACCAGTTGTGGCATGAAGAACTTTTTATTTTAACTGGAATAGAAATGCTGGTGTTGACAGCCTGCCCAAAGCTGGGCATGGGAAAGGCCTACAATCAAGTCACAGCTCCAGTGGCTACTAACCTCCCCCTCATCCTGTAACACAGATGAACAGCATGACTCCAATGAGAAAGCAGGTTGGTTTAGCCAGTGAAAGCAAATTTTAAGAAATCAAACAGTACATAAAAAACAAAGGAGGCAGAGTTTGTTGGAAATGGTATCTTGGAAATCAGTGCATCAGCACTGGTTAATTGCCTCAGCACCTATGAACCAATGCAGGGAGATCACTGCACAGATATGTACAATCCTGCTCTCAAAAGAGCCAATATCTTCTTAGAATTGCCATCTTTCCACTGCCTGCTCCTCATGCACCTTCCAGACTGACAGTTCATAAAATCCCTGATTTCAGCAATGAGCTTTCACTTCTGTACAGCAATAAAATGTGTCCCTAGTGCAACTGCTTCTACTCAAGTGTGTCCCAGAGCTGAGAGGAAACCAGTTTCAAAATCAGCTTTCCACCTTTCCTCCTCCTTCCTCCTCCGCTTAAGACTGTATTTTTCAGCTTCTGCAAGTCTCTATGGCTTGTGTGCCATGCGGTGCAGTTAAGAAACTGCAGAAGGAATAACCATCCACTGCACAGAAAGTTAAAAAAACGTAACGGAAAGGTGTAAAAGGAAACTTGAAAGGAAAGCAGCAACCTCCCTTGCTGGCCCAGTTGCATATGCGGGCTCCAGCCAAGCTTGTGGCAGTAGAAGTCAGCTTGTTGTTCTCCGAGTCCTCAGCTCTGCGCTCTGGTCACATCTGGAATGACAACGCAAGCTGCTTACCAGCAGTTGTTCCTACTGCTCACTGATGCCGTGCTCCCATGCTACCCTGGCCTGCTCTTCCTTTCCACCACTCACAGGCTGGGACACTTTACGATGCAACTGGCGGTGTTTGTCGTCATCTTCAATTATCATTCCTTCCTCATTCTCTGTGTTTGGCAGCCGGGAGTGGTAAGGTTTGGGGGGTAGAGCAGGAGGGTCCAGGGTGTCCTGAGGAATGACTCCTGACGGAGCTGAGTGGCTTCGGCATGGCTGGGATTTGAGTGACTCGAGGACGTCAGGCTCAGAGAGACTGTACCTCACAGGGAGGTAGGGTGTCTCTAGATCTTCGTCAGTGTTCCAGGCCTGGCTGGGGACAGAATCCATGGTGTCGGTGCGAGGAGGTGGTTCGGAGGAATGTCCAAAATTACTCTCGCTCAAGGAGGAGACACCACTGCTTGCACTGCCGGATAAAGTGGAGTTGCTTCCATCTAGACCAGACTGTGGACTGGTGGGTGATGCAGGGATGGGATGAAGAGGGGACTGTTTGCAGAAAAACAGAAATCTTGTTAAAATCGACACGGGAGGCAACACTGCAGCTCGCTAACATTTCAGCTTTTAACAGTGATGTTAACAACAGTGCAGTCCTGGTTTTGTTCAAAATGTCAGCCATTGGCAGTCTGTATATATATTCCCCTGATTTGTATGGAAACACCTCTTGTGGACAAATCAGTGCACTTAACACAGCAGCTGAAGTGATAAAATCCCTCTCTCCCTCTGTACTGAGGGGGCCTGAAATCACAACATAAGCAAAAGGGAAGTGGGAGGGCCTAAATTTAAGTTCAGCAGTTTATAAACTTGGAATGAATTTTCTCTCAATTAAGTCAATAGCATTTTAAAAATAGTGAATCTGTATTCAAGAACTACTTGGAGGTGACAGTGGACAAGGGTGTCCTTCCAGAGCCTATACTTTTTCTTCTGTTTTTCTCTCCCTGACACTTCTTTTTTACCTTGCGCAATGTTCGTGCAGGCAGTGCCGGAGGAGCATCATTGAGCTGGTGATGGAAGGCATCAAAGTGCAGCGAGTAGTGTCCTGGAATGAGACAAGGGTCAGAAATACGGACCTCAACGCTGTAAGAGAGTTGGGGTTTTAGATTCTGCAAGCCAAGTAACAGCTCCAACCACTGATGAGACCGATCCAGCCTGAGGCTTCCCTTCCGATCAGTACTGTGGAGTGCATCTGTCACATCACAAAATACTTACAAGAAGTTCAGTGCAGTGATAGATTTCCACCCACCCCCTGTATCAAGGATTTCACGGCAAGGCAACGGGCTCGTAAACAACGAATGACTGAAGGTTTATTTAGTAGCTATGTAACCATAAATTATTGCTGAAGATAGCCACTGGCAAAAAGCCAAGTCAGACTTCCAACACACACACACACCTAGCCCACAGTTCTAGCCCACACAAGTCCATGTTATTTGTAACAACTGCAAAATTTGAAGATCTTGAACAAAACTGAAAATGTCCACTGCTAACCTGGCAGACCAGGAAAGACTTTGACTTCTTGTTTCCGATGCTTTCTATGAGGGAAAACAAGAACTATGGCCAGTTTTCATCTGGCCTAGTCATTTGGCATGACTGCATGACTTATGCAGCAGATCTACTGGGCTTTTCCTTACCATGGGGCAGGCTTCGGGGAGGTACTGGTGGGGCCAAGATGCTCCCAACGTGGACAGATAGGAATGGCAGGGCCTCTCTGGTTCCGCTGTCTAGGCTCCAGCTACTGGGCGCTGCTGGCACAGCTGAAGGATTGAAACAGATTTAACTTGGGTAATGGGGTGATGCGACCAGAAGGACTGGCTTGCCAGTGTACTCTGTAATAAGTGAGGTGAGATTTGAAGAACTTGGGGTGTGGTAGGAGGTTGGAGGCATACAAAGGCATCTAGTCTACAGCATGTTTAGTTTACAGGGTGCTTTGTTAAAGAAGCGAGAGTTAGGTGATCAGTGCTTGTTAGTCAGCCCATCTCCCCTCTGCTGACCCTCCAGGCTCACTTCTATGAACTATGAAGAGCAGTAGAATTCTGTGAAGTTTTTTTGTTTGTTTGTTTGTTTTATGAGCCGGTAAGTAAAAATGAAATCTTTTTTATGATGAAATCTTTTTTAATGGTGAAGCAGCAGCTGGATCTCAGCTATGAGCTGTTCTGCCTGGCAGGGAACAACTCCAGAGCAGGAAGAAACATGGGCAGAACTCCTGTGAGACACAGGATGGCTGCAGTTGTATTACAGTGGCTAAGCAAAGAGCGAGTGAAGGATGTGAGGGCAATGACCATAATCTGGTACAGAAGAAACCAGGACTTCAAAGATCTCATTTGCTCCAGAGCTGATTGATTAATCTGATCCCCAAGTACTTAAAGATAACAGCCCAGGCTCCTTGATTTAAAAAGTCAGCAATGAGACTGAGCCTTTGTTAACTGGGAAAGACAGAAGCAAGAGTGCTTTCCTCATATAACAGGTATTGAGAATGATTCTACGTGACTTTGTGTTTACATCATAACAGTTGCTTCTAACGATGAGAATGTGTCAGGATCTCAAGAATTTTGCCAACAGACATTATTAAAATGCATCTTCACCTCTTCCAAACGCACTCTAAGACTCAATTTGTTCTGAGGAAATAGAAATGCAATAACCGTGTATGTGTTTATAAACAATCGGTGCGTTTCATCAGCTCAGGCAGAAAAGAAAAGGGGGAAGAGGAACAAAGTACTTCAGTAGGTCTACCACAGAAAGGTGAGATTAAAGACAGCTTTTGCCATCTTCAGTTTGAAACATGTAAAACAGAAGCCTGGAGAAATAAACAGAGTTTGACATATGAAGAGAATTTGTCCCTAATTAAAATGCCTGCAACCATTTTTCAGATGTGTTTCTTCTCTAAAATGACTCTGAAAGGTTTATTATTGTTTTTCCTTAGCTCATGAACACAGACTCCCCAAGATCTAAAACTCCCCAGGGTAAAAAAGATCAGAAAATGACAGCCTCAAAAGACAGCCGAAAACCCACAAAAATGTTGGCTTTAAAGAGAGACCCTCAAAGCAAGAATGAAGTACAAAGAAGATGCTAAGAATCTTGACAGAGAACAGGTTCAAACAAAGGGATGCATACATCTCAAAACAGGTAAGTGGCTTCAGATGAGCTTTCTAAGCAGCCCTGCTCATGCTCTACACGTCAGAGTGCTGTAATCTGCATTACTGCAATTGGTGCTAAAAGGTTAAAATGAAGAGGGACAAAATACAGAATGATGCCAGCCACACGGTGCTCTCCTGCAGGATTCCAGCGTCAGGTGAAAAGGACTCAACAATACCTGGTTTTCTTGGCTTGTAAAATGATTGGGGTTTTTTTTGTCTATTTCTTTTTAATATTGAGATGAGCAGAAGACTGTAAGAACAGAACGTACCGCGTTCCAGTGTGTAATCCATTTATACTTTCTCAGTGTTCTCTCATTCACTGCCTTCTGAGCTAAGTGCTGGAAATCATCCTAAGGTCAGACGATTCTGGAGCATGGCTGCTGCCTGTTAAAACTGGAGCTGGATCTAAAATGATTCAGGGAGAAACCTACCCAGGGAGCTCCAGTGATGCCCTAGCCCATCTCTCCCTTCTCAGCAGTCTCAGTGGCCATGTTTAATTCTGCTCTGTGCAGCTGATGTCACCCTGTTGTCAATGGGAATTATTGAGCAGTACTTCTGACTTGGCATGGAGGGGGGTGGAAAAATTCACGGAGCACGACAGCTGACAAAAACAAGGCAGACGTCATCCTGACTACAGAGTGATGTTGGCTCTAGGGCTGCAGAAATGCCTGCAGCCGCTGACCTGGCAGCAGAGCTGGGGTTCCTCCTACACTATCCCTAAGAGCCACCTACCTGTCTTTTATGCTACCTTCAGCTACCACCTGTCTTTTATGGCTCCTTCGGACTCTGGGACATTCTGTCTTGGGTTCCCTTCTCTTTGTGCTGTAGACATGCTCTTGCATAGATATTGCCCACAAGTACAAATTCAAGAATTATTTCTCAACAGGCAAGACATCATGTACGTACCTTTTTCCAGTTCTTTCTCCTGTCCAGTATAAAAATCATACCAAGTCTGTCATGTTCAATTCAAATGCAACACGGCTAAGGCAGAACTCTTAATTCCTCACTCCCTAGCCTCAACTGTTGTCACTATTAGCGTCATCAGAATAATTTGTTCTGAAATGCAGGTTGGCTTCTGTTTTCAATCTTGACTGCTCTGTAATGCTGCCACACTGTTAAAGTAATGGATTCTGATTTATTAGAAGTTCTGGAATAGCATCTGGCTTTTTGTTTTTCAAAGATACCGTTTAGTTCACAACTGCTGAAACAAGAACACTAACAGAAGTATAATGAAGCGCATTGCGCAGCTCAGACTAGAGGACTGTGGTGGTCTTTCCTGGCCTTAAAATGTTTGACTTTCAGATGCTGTTTCTCCCAGTCATACATAAGACCACTGCTTTCTAATGGCAGCACCCTTGTTTCAGGTTTTGACTCAAGAATTTTGCTCTCTTCCGCTTTTTTCAGAATGCTGTTCCTCAGGTCATTTTGTGAGCCCATCACTTTGTCCATGGCACCCCATTGACAAGCTCCTCCTCCTCCCCTGCATCAAACAAAACAAGCTCCTTTTCTTCTCTCATAGTCTTTTTTTCTGCTTGGCTATTTAACACCCTTTGCTAGATACTGCCAGAATCATTTCCCACCTATGTGTAGACCTGTCACGCCGTTCAATGGGTTCATTTGGGAAATTCTCACATAAGCCTCTGATCTTTCCCATTTTTCCATGACCTTATAGTCACCTCACTGCTTTTCTTCAGACTCTTCCTTAGAAATCTCTTACTTCCATGGGCTCCGCTCATACTTCTTCAATGCAGCGAGTTAAGTATAAATTCCTAATGAGAAACTTAATTAAGCATAAAACTAGCTCAGAGAGAGAAGAAATGTCACTATTTTGAAGAGTAAGTGCTCATTAAAAACAAAACCAACACAATTTATACGATCTGAAGAAAAGCAGCAGTATACCTCTTCTTTTTTTTTTTTTTTTTTTTGGAAATGGTACAAATCCTTCAGTGTTCTTTCAGATATTTCCCCTTTTGCTTGTTTGGGAATTCTGCCTGATAAAAGCTGCCTGATTTGTTTCAATAACAACGTGCTAAACTCAGAAGGCTTTTTGAAACAGAGAGCTTTGTGCAACTCCACCCTTCTGAAGTGACTATACATTTGGCAGGAAGCCCCGTTAATTAAACTATTAATTTAAAAAATGAGAGAATGCACTCTGCCAGGAAATGTAGAAGCCCATTCACTACTTGCAGGATCAGAGTAATAATATTTTAGAAAGCATGCATGTTAACTAGGAAAAAGAATACCTTTCTCAGCCACGGAGAGGTTGGGATCGCTGCAAGGTTTGCACGGTCCAATCATTTGCTGCATGAAGGCGCGCTGAAAATTTGGAGGCTAAGGGAGAAGAAAGCACAGAACCTATGGATTTCTGTTCAGGTTTTCAGGCAAAGAGACTTTTTTTTTAAAAAAAAACCTCATGCGAACCTTGGACTGTCTACATTAGCAAGTAATGCAGTGCAATCCTAGAAGATCTCCGGAGGGTAACAGCGGTGAGGACCCTGCTGTGCTCTCTGAAGGAGTTATATCAGAGCAGCTCTGCCTGGTCTTGTGCCCATTAGCAGCTTGAATGCATCCCATGCTCTTCTGAAGCTCATCTTTTGCTTTGGCTTCATTTGAAATAATAGAGTTTGTGTGCTCTGAGACAGTTCTCTGATGTGAACTGAAGTGGGCATGGCCAGGAGATTCTCTTCAAATGTGCATGCCAGAGCTGAATTAAAATGCTCATACGTAAGCACACAGTGAATTTCTCAGTTTGCCCAGAGAAAGCAGTACACTGTTTGGAGTCCCTGTATACATTACTTCAGCCTCCTGTGTATTTTTTTGTTACCTCTGGCAATCACCATAAACCTACTTAGATTCAACTTTGAGGCTTACTAGAAGGATGGAAGAGCGAGTAAATTAAGTGATGTGATGCTTACAGAGGACCAGGGCTCAAGGGACAACCAACTACAGTTTTAACAGTCGTTACAATTTACATCACCCAACTACCAAAGTGGGTGGGTCTAGTGTGCGATTAGTATCAGCAGGTCTATGCTATTTCTTGGACCGCAGTGAAAATTTTAAGCTCTTGTGCTTCCCAAAAATATTAAGAGAAGCTTTAAAGCAGACAAAAGAGTAAAGATGAGCCCGTCCTTTTCAGTATGGTTGAGCTAACGTAAGAGAAATCAGGTCTGCTACCTGTCCGTTTTCCATGATAGCTGCGGGGTACATGGCACTGCTGGGCCGGTCCCGGTGGGTTGGCAACAACATCATCAGCTCCCTTGTGTGGCGGTACTTATCTGGTAGAGAGGGAGAGCCTGTGAACAAGTGAGAGCAATCACATACACGTGACAAACAACAGCCATGTCTCCGCATGCCCAGAGCCAGTCCTCCTGTGTGGTGCGTTCAGACGATGGTCAAACAGGACTCAAGGAACATGGGGCCCAGCACAACAAGCAGCTCACTGCTGGTGGGGTGTGTGGCACAGGATGAAGAACTGGCACGTTATGTATGATTAGGGACACAGCATGTAAGGTGTGTAAGATGTGCTCCTCCCTCCTGGAGTGTTGCAAAGAGCTGAATATATATAAATAAATACAGAAGAAAGGGCAACTGTGTGAATAAAGTACTGCAGTCATACAGATGCTGTAAAGCCTTGTAATTCGGGACTGAATGTGGCAGAAAGGGATAAAAGCCTGAGGTGCACCATTCAGATCAAGCAGAAAGCTACTTTATTCTTCAGTTCTGGTAGAGAGAGACTGAGGTGCTGCAGTGTAGTTGGTGATACCACGTTTGGCTTTTTCTTATAAGAGCACAAAAATCACTAATGAACAGAATTTGCTAAATGTGGGTGGCGTTTTGCTCATAAGGCCTCTAGGTAAGCTATGGTTTCTATTGAGTACTGGTATACTGAGCCATCGTATGACACCAGAATGTTTACCAGTGCTTATAGCTGGAATATACTTGACTTGGTAGACTTAACTATTAGTTAGCTTAGCTATCTGCATAGCTCCCATTTAAGAAGTAGTGGTATGCACACAGATAGCTTCCTGGAGTTTGCAATTATTTGGGATTTGTATCCTTCAAGGTGAGTGCCACACAACAATATTCTTCTGATATACAAGAGCTGACAAGGGATTTGTTAGCAGAACGATTCCTATCAGTGACTTCCTAAAGTCTGATACTGCTGACAGACACATCCATTGGGATGCATGGTATTAGGCAGGAACTGATGATCAGAAGCTGCTAGAGTGAGCTTTCATTTGCACTGCTAATTTCACTGCATTACAGACACACACTGAACAGATGACAGCACACAGCGCATTACAGAGCCATGCTGGCTTTTGGGGAATACATGCCCCCTCTTGCAGACTTTCCACAACCACACACATTACCTGAACAGCACTGCAACATATGAGCAAAGGCACTGGTACTGGTTAATGCAGCTTTTATCCCAGCAAAAGCAAACATGCATTTTTTGGGACTGATATTCAGCACACAGTGGAAGGAACAATGTGTCCAGCAGAATGCAGGATAACCTCCTACAATAGGGGAGGCAGATCCCCAATTAATCCACACCCTCACCCTGACATGGACAGCCACAAAGTATCTGCATTCCAGTTCCGAACTCATTTTCTCCCCAGACATAAAACAGAAACATAATTACACAACATTCTTTGCTCTCATGTACAAGCATCAGCTTGGAAAACAGTGTTATGCTTTATGCTGAGTCTCTTTTACTCACACGTCACAGATAATCCTACTTCTGCCTGACAAATGTAGATGTATCAAACTCTTAGGTGTGCCCAGAACTGCATCACAGCACAACCCAACAATGTCAGCTTTGCCATTTTATTTATCCTGTGCTTTTTTGTCCAAGATGCAAACCACCCCAATGTGCCATTGGTTAATATGGGATTCTAGCTTCCACCAGACCTTGCATGCGTGACCTGAAAAATTACACATGTGCTAAACATGGAGGTAGTTTCACCCTGGCATTTGGTACCCTAAATT